ATGCGTAATTGATTTGACTGAAAAACAAGCATAACTGCTTCACCATTACAGTAGCAGCAAGCACAACCGTTTCACCAATTACAACAATTTCAAACACAACCGCTTCTCCAAATACAGCAACTATAACCAGAATCGCTTCACCAATTATAGCAGCAACAACCACAACCGATGTAATTAGCGAAGCAGTTGTGCTTTTTGTTGTTGTATTTGGCGAAGCGGTTGTGTTTGTTGATGTCGTATTTGGGGAAGCGGTTGTGGTTGTTGTTGTTGTAATTGGTGAAGCAATTGTCCTTGAGGCATACCTCGTACACAAACATAAAGTAAATTGAACGTCTCTACATGAGCTTCAAATGATTTTTTGTTTTTTCTCTTCAGTAATCTTGAAATGCGAACACTGGCACAGATATTAGGACAAAGGCAATACACATTTACCAAGATTAGCTAAAATAGGTCATTTGATAAACTTTTTTGGAGGAAATAAAAAAAGCTTAAAGTACGATATTCAAATTGGAGGACATGTATAGAGAGGGAATAGAGAATGCAATTTAGTGGTGGAAATTTAAGGAACAAAAGAAGGATTCTTATAGGTGGTTTGAGTTGTTTTTACAAGATAATATTGGAAATCTTGTAAATAGCATTCCATATGTTTTGGTTTACATTAGATTTGATCATAAGTCAATATTAAACAAAATTTATCAAATCTTAAAAACCCACCAAAATCATAATCTTAGTAAGAAGATCATCATCATGAAATAGGTAAATAAATTATTATTATTATTATTATTTGAATTTTTTATTAGTCAAAGTTTAAATACCTTAAAGTGGGTTTTCTTGTCACAAGGATTTTTGTAGTCGGTTTGAGTTGTTTTTACAATATAATATTTGGAAATCTTGTCAATAACATTCTATATATATATATTGATTTACATTGGATTTGATCATAAGTCAATATCAAACCAAATCTACCAATCTTAAAAACCCACTTAAATCATAATCTTAGTAAGAAGATCATTATCATAAAATAGGTAAATAATTTATTATTATTATTAGAATTTTTGGTCGGTCAAAGTTTAAATACATTAAAGTGATTTTCTTGTCTCGAGGATTTTTATTGTTGGTTTGAGTAGTTTTTTACAAGATAATATTTGGAAATATTGTAAATAACGTTTCTATATATATATATATATATATATATATATATATATATATATATATATATATATTGATTTACATTGGATTTGATCATGAGTCAATATTAAACCAAATCTATCAAATTTTAAAACTCACCGAAGTCATAATCTTAGTAAGAAAATCATTATCATTAAATAGGTAAATAATTTATTATTATTATTATTATTTGAATTTTTGGTCAGTCAAAGTTTAAATACCTTAAAGTGATTTTCTTGTCTCAAGGATTTTTGTTGTTGGTTTGAGTTGTTTTTACAAAATAATATTTGTAAATATTGTGAATAACATTCCATATGTATTGATTTACATTGAATTTTATCATAAGTCAATATTAAACCAAATCTATCAAATTTTAAAAACTCACCAAAATTATAATCTTAGTAAGAAGATCATTATCAAAAAATAAGTAAATCATTTATTATTATTATTATTTGAATTTTTGGTCAGTCAAAGTTTAAATACATTAAAGTGATTTTCTTGTCGTAAGTGACACCCACACTAACAACCTGATCAGAGAACCAAAGTCTAACCCATAAGTTCTAGATTGTTCTTTTACGATTTTTAGTATTGGCATACACCTTTTTTTTCTATAAATAGGAGTGTCTTTTCATTCATCTGGGACACAACACATTGGAACTATTGATATTAATATTTATATCTAAATTACTGATAATAATATTGAGAGTTCTTTGAACCTTTGTAGCTTGTGCTTTAAGAAGGTATCTTTCAACATTTACTAGTTTCATAGTTCAAGGTATAAGGTAATTTTCTTATGATATCTTTGATTTCTTTATGGTATTGATCTTTATAAGGTGATTAGTTTCTACATATTAATTATTTTCATAAATTACTCATAAAGGGTCAAGATCCAATTCTATTGTTTTGATTAGTTTTCTCAAATAGTTAAATGTGTTAGATTTCTTCTAATAAATCTATACATTATTATTTGCTTGTCAAGACTTTAGAATATCGCATTCTTGAAAAATCTTGGATTGTTTCTTCGTGTTTCTCATATTTTTATTTTTAGTTTTCAGTATTTTTTTATATTTTGCTTCCGTACTTAAAAATATACAATCTTATGTTTAGGATTACCGTAACCTGGTTGTATAATTATATAATAAAATAAAGACAAAATTATGATTATATATATATAACCTCACTGGTATAATTATATAATCGTTGTTGTGACCATTGGATTGTTTTGTCTTGATTGTATTATATATAATTATAATAGTGAGGTTAGGGAGATTCTAAACATAGAATAAAATATCTAGAAGTGTCGAAGAAAAATAAAAAAAATGGAAAACTAGAAATAAGGATATGGGAAATTCAAAGGAACAATTTAAGAATTTTCAAGAATGTGATGTTTAAATATTTGACAAAATCCAAGTAACAACGTATATATTTATGAGAAGAAATCTAATGTTGTTACTTGAGAAAACTAATCAAAATGATAAGTTAGGATCTTGACCACTTTATGAGTAATTTAAAACAACAATTAGTATGTAGAAACTACCCTCTTCTAAAGAATATCAAAACGAAATTAAAAACATCATAAGAAAATTATGTTGTACCTTGACCTATGAGACTAGTAAATATTGAAATATAAAACAAATACTCAATGTACAAGTTAAAAAGGTTCAAAGAACTCTCACTATTGTTATAATTAATTTAAATGTAACATGTCCTTAATGAATTAAAATCCCTCCTATTTATAGCATAAAAAAAGTAGTTGATCTAGAACGTAGGAAAATAAAAGGATAGCTTAGTGTCCAAGTTAGAAACTAAAGCCCTACTATTTGTGGCTGAAATAAGGCCTTTTGGGCTCTTTTCCCTTATTTGAGCTTGCTTGGACTATATTGGTTTCAACTCCACTTAAGGTCTCAAATAGGCATCATTTTGGACACCACTCTAAGCTTTTCAATGCTGAATTTTAGACCCTTATTTTCGATAGATATTTCCTTGCAAATTTTGCTTTGTGAATCTTCTTCTTTTTTTCATAACTTGTGGGTTATGAACTTCTTAAGGCATAACATTTTGAAATTGAACATATGCCATGTATGACATAACTTATGTCTTTATGAATTTTTACTTGGATTTTTTTTTATTTTTACATTTAAGGGGTATTTTCAACCACTTTTTTGTTGCTTGAAGTATTGAAGAACAAACATGAAAAGATCGTCAATTTAAGGGGAAAATTTTTAAAAATTACCCCAAAATAGGGATATTCATGTGAATGGCCCTTTTTAGTATAAGGTAATAGAGTTGTCAAAAAGAGTTGGCCCAAGCCTCGCGGGTCAAGGAATTTCATTTGGAAGGACCTGAAAATGTTCAATCAAACCCAACCCTAGAAGGGCCGAGGGCTGGGGCAGGCTAGCCCTTCTTTTTTTATTGTTTTATTTTTTTTCTTTTCAAACTTATAATTCTATAACATCAAGAAAATGAGAAGATTTTCAAATCAAATATAGCAAACAATGGTGTTGTTTCAATAACACTAGTAAAATATCTAGTGTAATTAGCATGTATCTCGCATACTAGATACGCAAGTGAGATAAGAGAGTGACAAGCAAGATGGGAGAGAAGCGAGGACACGAGATTTGTCTATATATCCTAGATACATGGGAATCTACTTGGATAGAGTGTATCTAGAACAAATTGATCTAATTTTGAGTCCATATATTTCGAGATACATGTATCTGAACATACCAAAATCTGGTAAGATTCATAATATTACAACATATTGTGTATTTAAGTAAGGGAAAATTGTATATAATAGCAAACTATTAATTCAAATTAAATGTCATAACCACAGTTTGATTTAATTGTACCCCGTAGCAAATTGTTGTTATTTCGCCTCTCTCTCTGGTGAATCTCGCTCGCCACTCTCGACAGTCTCTCCCTCGCCTCTCTCGCTTTTATACAAATGTAAATGTATAAAATGCGTTTGTGTTTGTATAAAGCGTATATATACATATATTTTTGTTCCCCTCTCCCAGATCTTTCTCGCTACTCTCTCTCTCGGCTCTCTCGCTTTATACAAATAGAAATGTATAAATTGTGTTTCTGTTTGTATAAAGCGAGAGAAAATTGTATATACACTTGCAAATACATATATCTTCGTCCTATACACTTATAATTATACAATACAAATATTCCTCTGCCCAGTTCTCTTTTGCCTTTCTCGCTTTATACAAACACATATTATACAGTTGATTCTTTTGTATATGTATACCAAAACAAATTATACAATTGCTTCTTTTGTATATATGTATAGAAAAATAGTCATAGCAAACATAAAGTTTGTTATGGAGCGCACTTATGCAAACTATAGTTATAGCATACAAATATGATTTTTGTGTTTGTTATATGTGAAAGTTGTTAATATTAAGTAATTAAATTATATACTAGTGAGATTATTATAAGTTACTCTTAAATAAAAAGTTTTGGCCCATGGGCCGATCCTGATCAAGCCTCAAGGGTCAAGGGCTTATATGGGTCAGACTTATAAGCTCTAATTTTTAATAGACTTGAAAAATTCGATCACAATCCTACCCAATAACGGGTTAGGTTGGACGGACCCATGGGCTAAGCCCGTTTTAACAACTCTAATAAGGTATATAAATTTTTGGTCCTCATGAATTATCTTTGCTAATACTGAAATCAGCAACTATTAGAAATAGCTCAATTTTATCCTCCGATTGCTTTTGATACAGAGAAAGGAATATAAAGAGCACTTAAGTAGAAGTTTGGAAGCCTCCTCACAATTTCAGGTTCAACAGAACATTTAAGCCAAGTTTCTTCTCCAAATCCAAATGAGCAAAGGTGAAATTCTACCTCAGGATATCATAATTGACATACTATCTCGTCTTCCTGCAAAATTCATCGGTCAATACAGGTGCGTATCAAAGCAATGGTACAATTTACTCTCACACCCACAATTCATCAAATTTCACTTCACTCTCCATGCTCATAAACAAGAAACTAAACTCATTTTCATCTCTGATTCTGACGATCTTCACACTATCACCTTTAATCGTAACCCCCAAAATATAATATTCGATGCCATTTCAACAAACCTTAATTTTCAGAACAACTGGTTAAGTATTGCTTGCTCATGTAATGGGCTGGTGTTGGTGGAAAATCAGGAACATATTATGTACTTAATTAACCCCACAACCTTAGATTACCATAGAATTCCAGTTTTTCATTTGGGTCTTCCTCAGCAAAGTAGCTACAGAGAGTATGGTTTTGGGTATGATTTTGCTAGTGATGATTATAAGGTGGTTAATCTTTCTCGATATCGAAAGGGGAATATTGACACTACTTTTGTTGATGTCTATTCGGTGAGAATGGGTTTATGGAGGAGGCTAGAGAGTTTACCTTACGATGATGTACTTTCGGAGCGAGGAGGGGCTTCTGGGGTGTTTGTAAATGGGGTTTTGCATTGGATGGCAAGTAAAGCTTCTTCTTTCGTAACTATTGGTTTTGATTTAAGTGATGAGAAATTTTTCGAGGTACCAGCACCTACTAATCTTTATGGAAATGAGTTGGATTGGTATGAACTTAGGAGTTTTAGAGGGTGTCTTTGTATGTTTTGTGCTTTATTAGAAAGCGAAATTGATGCTTGGGTGATGAAAGAGTATCGAGTTGAGGAGTCTTGGACCACATTTAGTATTGATAGAATGGATTTAGAGAATGGTTTGGTACCATTTTGTCCGATTAGTGATGATGATGTTGTATTGAGTGTGGATAGGGATAGGTTGACTGTCTACAACATCAAAGAGGATCAATGGAGATATATGGAGGTAGATCGATTAACTTATATGTTTGAAAGGACTGGAATTTTCTTCGAGAGTCTTGTCTCGCCCATGTTTGGCAAGGGAACTGAGGGTTACCATATTGCTTGATGTGATATTCTGAGTTTATGTGGTACTAAGAGGTATGATTTTGTTAGTGATGATTATAAGGTGGTTACTCTTTTTTGATATCGATATTGACACTACTTTTGTTGATGTCTACTTATGGAGGAGATTGTGTAAATGGGGCTTCGCATTGATTGACTAGGAAAGCTCCTGTTTTTTCCATATGTAATGGTTGTTTTTCATTTGAAGTAATGAGAAATTCTTGGAGGTGTCGACACCTACTAACAATATGTTATTGTTTAATAAGCTTTCAGATCTTAGAGGATATCTTTGTATGTTATATGATACACTAGGAAACGAAATTGATGTTTGGATGATGAGAGAGTATCGAGTTGAGGAGTCCTGGACTAGATTTAGGGTTGCTAGAATGGATGGTCTCGTACCATTTTGTGTGATCAGTGATGATGATGTTGTATTGAATGTGGATAGAGATAAGCATTTGACTGTCTACAACGTGAAAGAGGATCACCGAAGAGATATGAAGGTTGATGGAATAACTGCTAAAAGATATCCAAACTTTGAAGCTCTTTTGAACTCTTGATACAGATATATGTTGTTATTTTCTGGTTCATTTATTTGCAACAATATAATATATAGAATATTTTGTCGCTGGTTGTCTTGTGTACAACAACACAACAACAACATATCCTGTGAAATCCCACAAAGTGGGGTCTGGGAACACCGTGATAGCAATCTTGATAGGTAACAGTTATCGCAGTATTATGAAGGCAATGAATATTGCTGGTTTTCATATTTATTCTTCTGAAGTTGCCATCATGTTATTACAACACATGCAGAGTGGCATATGCATTTCTGTTTGCACGGGATTGATTTATAGTACTTTCCATATCTTTTTTGAATATCATATTTTAAAATATTGAATTATTATAATCTGATTTAGCTTAAGATAATTAGTCAAATTGACTCTCTAAAAGCATAAATGACACCTAAAAAGGAATGGAGGGAGTACTCTTATAGATCACTTGTAAAATTCATTGTTGCATATGTTTCTGCAAATAATTTGTTTACCTTTATATTTGTTAAGCTCTCTAGTTTTCTTGGTAATCATCTTGATGTCGACAAACAAGTCATGATAGGATGATTTACATAAATGAATGAAAATTGTACTTTTTATTGTTATGTATAATAGTTTACTCAGTTTTATTTTAATAATATATTTTGTTAATAGGTACTGGTTATTTTGATATTATTTAACGAAACTATATATAACATGCGTAGACATTGTTTACCGCAAAATGGTACAGTAGAATTTATAAATATAGTTTAAGGGCAGACGAGTTGGATTAATATTGTAATGCAATAATGTTAAAAATAAGTCACAACATACCTAAGATAACAAATATAGAAGCAATAAAATAATCAAGTCGTATATTAAATTTTGGAGTCGAGCCTTTATGGTTATGCGTCTAGTATGTGTTGAGCAAAATTTTGGAACCCTAATACAGAGAACTAAGTAGCTATTTTTAGATAAAATCTTAGGGAGCAGCCAACGTATGGTTCGCATTTAGGGCAGTTAGGGACTTTTAATCGAAGCTTATACCACTTCTCCTTCTGATCTTTTAGCATCGGACTCTAGGGGTGTACAAAATCGAACCAAACTGCAAATTGAGTCAAACGGGAAAAAAAATCCGACTAGTGGTTTGGTTTGACTTGGTTTGGTATTGGAAAAAAAACCCGACTATATTTGGGTTGGTTTGGTTTCAACTAAAAAAAAACAACCCGACATTATATATATAATTTTAAAATTTTATTTTATACGTAAAAATATATACTTTGATATAATTTTAAATATTTCTTATACTTTTCATAGTTTTTATCTTTTAATATATTATTTCATGTTTGAAAGTTAGAATTCTTAATGACCCAATAAAGATTATAGTCCATAGATATTGGTAATTATAATAAACCTTAAATCAAAATCAAATTAATACTAATGCAAAAAGAAAATCAATTCAACACTAAAAATGACAATAATATTGAATATTTGTTCTTTAGTTTTACATAGGTTAAGACAATTAAAATACATAATCTAATTTTAATTTCCTTTAATATTTAGTCATGTAACTAATACTTATTAAACTTATTTTAGCATAATTTAGTACTTTTAAATTATGATCATTTTCATTATGACTTATTAATTTGCAATATTTGATTTACTCGATTTCATTATTATTATTTTTTGGATATTTTAGCATCATTAATCATATCATATTTTATGTTATTTTCTTAAGAAACACTTAGATAGTTGTATTTGGTAGGACTAAAGAAATATTTGAAGTACAAGTAAATTATATGTTTGTACGAATACTTTACCGGAAAAACCCGACTTTTATTGGTTTGATTTGGTTTATAAATTCAAAAATCCGACACAAATGGTTTGGTTTGATATTTGAAAAATCTAACCATGTACACCCCTACCGGTAGGACTCTATATACATCTCCTTGTGATCTTTTAGCACCGGACTCTATATACATAATAGATGGTGTTGCCACTTAGCAGCTCTGGTAGTTTTCCTCTTGACCACTAACTCTGCAGTTATGTATCGATCGTGATTAGCCGATAAGTAAACTTATCTGAGTTTTATGTAAATTTTATACTCCTTATTTTAAACTTATCTGAGTTTTATGTAAATTTTATACTCCTTATTTTAAATACTGACAACCCAATGTGAGAAAAATGACAACTAAGCTTGCAATTTTGACCAATCTTTTCTTTCAGACCAAAAAGCTCATTTCCAGAAACATGAACAAATTAAGTTGTGATGTTTCCCAATCTCTTCACACTCTCACTTTTAACCCCAACCCCGATAATGGAATCGATGCAATTTCAACTCAGGAAAAATGGCAGAGAGTTCATGGTATTGGTGTTGAATAAGGAACCTTAAGAGTGGTGCCTCTACTGCGTATGCTCTTGGGTTCAATTCGGGTTTTGGAGGAGACTTGAGAGTAGTATATCTCATCAGGGTACAATTCATATTCATGTTTTTGGGGTTTTCCTAAATGGGGCTTTCTTTGCATTGGTTGGCTGCTAAATATTTTTATCAACCGTCTGCAATTGTCTACTTTTACTCTTGATGATTACGATTTAAGGCTCTTGGAGGGTGGGTGTCTTTGTATGTTAGTTTGTAGAACAAATGGAAATGAATTTGATGTTTGGATGATGAAAGAATATGGGGGGGTTGCAGAGTCTTGGACAAAAACTAAACGTATGGTTTCACTTCACACCCGTGTGTTTAATGATGTCGTATTGGCTGCGCCTGGATAAGGGAACTTTGTTCTCTACAATAAGAAATGGGGAGAGATGGAATAATTGTGCAAAGTTTGTACGGACTAGAGCTTTCATGGAGAGTCTTGTGTCTCCTATGATATATTGGCAAGGGAAATGAGGTTGGTGACTATATATATCACTTGATGCAGTATCCTGAGATCATGTTTGTACTCAGGTATTGATTTCTTATTCATTTTATTAGTTCCTTGTATTTTATTCAATAGGAACTTTATGAATGGTGATTTTGTTCTCCTCGTCGAGTTGTTCTCTTGGAGTTTTGCGATGGTAATTCTTTGGTCCTGTTTCTTGATGTTTTGACACAACAATGCAGAAACAGATTTTTTTTCACTTCTAGGAAAAGTTTTATGTTCTTTGTCAGTTTTACCAAGTTATTGTTTTTGTTTCCCCAGCTACTCTTCAGTTCTAGAAAAAAACTAAACTTTGTGGGATTCTCTGATTACTCCAGATGTACTTTTGCTACCATATTTAATACCATTTGACACTTGTTTTGAGCCTTATGCAGGGAGGGATATATATCTGCATTCTATGGAATAAATTGTCAAAGAATGTGAATTGAGCCAACCTCAATATATTTTAGTTCTTAATCTTTTAATTTTATGATGGATACTATGATTAGACTTGCATTTGTGATTTTGTATACTATCAGGAGAAAGGGATTTTGATAGTTGATTGTTCACATCTCAGTTGAATTTTGGTGATCTGAGTAGCTATTTTACATCAAGTCTTCCTTCCAATCTTATAAACAGATTTTTAGCTTTGCAATATTGCTTTACTTTCAGAGCCTAGAGGCCAATACTAGATAACATGTCATTTATGTGCATCTAACAAAAGTGGAACAAAGCCCTCCAGAAAACCTTCTATGACTTCACCAAACAAAAGCAGCAGGGCCTCATTTCATAAGACTCGATGAAAGCACCAATCAATCAACAATACCTTAATCCCAGATTAGCTGGGGTGCTATATGAACCCTCTGTATCCAGTCCGCTCTGTTTGCACAGTTGCATCAATTTCATTTCAAGCTCAAAAAAACTATAAAAGAACACAAAAGTAAGGATGAAACTATAAAATTTCCTGGCAGAAATGGAAATATGGACACTAATACTATTCAAATCTAGCTGAATACTCCATAACAAGATTTCATAAAATTCCAGTACTTGTTATGAGATATTTAAGCTTCACATTTCCAACAGGTGCAGTGCGTAGGAATCATCCTTCCTGCCCTTATTAAAATGGATCTTCACGATAGATACTTTTCGAACTGTGAAACCTCTACTACATTTCTCAATAATTTGTGAAATGCCATGTCAGAGAAATAGAGGAATCCTGCATGAAGTTCCTATTAAGTGGCCAAGTAAAACTTTGGATATCTGGCGTTGACCTTGTTTGACAGGACGTGCAGTTTGCATAATAACTACCAGCATAGTTACTTCTCCAAGATAAAAAAGGTTAGCAGCATATGAGGCAGTCATTAACTGCACACTGAATGGTATTCCGACATACAGGCTATCTCTATTTCCCGCACCTATGAAGATAACTAAACAGAACAATTTTTTCGTGTGAAGAAAAATGCTGATAGAAAGAAGCTACACCTAGTTAGGTGATCAACAGTGATGAAACCGTAAGTATAAGGTGGCCTTGGAGTTAAGAACCTAAGGCTCCATAACAAAAGCGTTCA